AAATCAGCCATATATGGACATCTAAAAGGAACAAACCATACAATAAATAAAGGAAACATGAAAATTCTTCATACATGTAACAAAGGAAGGAAAATGAATTTATTGGAAGCGTTGGAAATAAATAAATTGTACAAGGACCCCAAGTTTATAACGCTCAACGACCAACTAGATCTATACAGCTCGCCCCTTTTAAATTTAGGAATTTTAGGATCCATCCAATAGTTGGTAATCGTGACATATTGTAATATTGGTAACGTGTTAGGTCAGGTACCTAGCTGATACCTGTCCACACTATTTAAGACGCAACTTGTCATTTTGTGGTAGTTACTTGAAAATGGCCTTATAAGCCGAAACCGGTCGTAACGAATAAATAAACAGAACTAAACTAGACAAAAATATTTTTTTTATTTTACATTTTTCAACTGAAATTACTTATTTAATCCTTGTCTGCCAGTCTTTTCGGTTATATAAGATGCTTCTTTTTCAATTACTAATATTAGTTTCTTATCAAATTTTGAAAAATTATTCTTACGCCTGATGCTTTTTTCCAATTTTCCACAAATCAACTCGATAGGATTGAAAACACAAAAATAAGGTGGAAGTCTCAGTATGGTGGTGTACACGTTTTCAAATGTTTTTTTTCCGTAAATTTTCGAGTAGTTGGTTTTTGGTATATTAATTTTCAAAATACAAATTGTTATTCATTAAAAAACTTTGTATTTCATCTTTCCTCGAATTTTTATTCGGTAATTTGATGAGCTGGCGCGAATGATAGGAAGCGTTATCAAAACTATTACACTATTTGCATTCAAATTTGGGACCAATGTGTTTTCAAACCATTCCTCGAAAATATTAGCATCCATGTTCTTATGGTAGTCAACATTGCCGTCCTCAAGTTTTTTTCCACATATTTTTAAAGAATTCCGAACCCATCCTTCACTTCTTCCGCAATGCACAATGATTAGTCGCGATTCTGTGTCTGCAGGCATGTTAGGTGTACACATTCTCGAACCGTCAATCCACCCTCTCGTAACTGTGTCGTGAGTGTCATACCAAGATCCGTCCAAATAGAAAATTTGCCGTTGTTCTTGTCAATATTCAGTTATTTGTTCTAAGTATTTTTACGCAACTCCACTATTCTTCGGCTTTTCATAACTGCTTGACGTTTGCTTATTATTTTGAATCTCAATCCTAGTTTCTTCATTCAATTATGATGAGTTTTGTCACAGCAGCTCACCTTATGGCCGGAAGTATTCAATTTCTTCCTTATGATTTCAATTGCAGGAATCTGATTGCTTTTGTGACAGTCTTATATTGTTTTTGTCAATGATTTTATTAGATGAACATTTAAAGGTGTTGGTAATCCAGCATCACATCGTGTCTTTCGTTCACAAGGTTTGTTTTTGACTGTTTCACGTACAGTAGAAAAAGGAATTTCTGTCAAATTTGATGTTGCTTGTAATAGTTTGTTTCCCTTGAAACCAAACTTGGGATGTAGATTCTTATATACATTGAAATATACTCTCTGTCTCAATATTCAAATGCATCCGAATCTTATTCACTGGTATCTCTTTTTCACATTTTCAACCATCGCTATTAGAATCACTACACTTGAAAAAGTCTGCGTTGTTATCAGACTCATTATTACTATTAGTACTTGTCCAAGATCGTCACATTTTTCACAGATAACAAAAATGTTAAGTAATTATAACTGCACCAATATCGAATTTCAACACTCAAATCGCGATCAATTGATGACACGACGGTGATAACCATCCCCGCATTTCCCGATTTTTATTCGTCACCGTAACATGACTTCAAATATAATTTTATGACTCTTCAGCCAATCATGAAACTCGGTTAGTAAAAATTATCCAATACTAACCGCCAATTTTGCAATCCACATGGACTAGTTCACAGCCGGTTCATTTCCATGTATTGGTTTTTTTGGCCTTTGAGAGTGCCGTCAACTTCAAGTGCGGACAATATCGTTCACTTCAGCTATACTAATCGCAACAATAGACCTGGACAATTTCAATATTCTCTAATAATTATCCAATAATTTTCGCAGTAGTCTTTCATTGCTAGCAAAAAAGATTTGGGAATGTTTCACCGAAATCTGTCTAGTAGGTATATGGGGTTTTATTAGGCAACAAACTCAGGTTAGTCATGGTTAAATGGAACACACTGCATGACTGGAAATATTCCTGAAAAATGGACATATACTTCAGAAACTATGTAAAGAAAAAAATCGCCCATCTTATTCAATTAAGTGAAATATGAAATAGATGATTGAACTATTGAACGTGAAGATGATCAATTGCTGATCACAAGATCACAAGTATATTAGAAAATGGTATGAGAAAGTTTGATTTGATGTGAATATCCAATCAATTTCATCAGCTCATTGTTTCATGTATCAGTATTTCCAGCTCTCAACTGGCTTTTATTGAACCCAACAGAGAAGTGACAAATGTGTAATTTTCCGTGAAGCATTCTGAAGTTTCATGAACTATCATCAACACTTACCCAGCACAACTCTGGCAGTTAACGATAATGTCTAACAATTAGATCTGCCTTAAAGTTGTTTTCGACAACGCTATGATCTCTAGAAGTTTATATCCCGAGGTAACAGTGATCTAATCTGTGACATCTACTCTACACCCGTCCTTCTAATCAAATCAGTAATTACACGTGATAAGTGCCTTCTTATAGGCCAGGAGAAGTGTGGTACAAAATCCATTGAACAATTTTTGCTACCTAAAAAAAAGCCATAAAAAATTATCATTTATTACTGTTTTTTGTGTGTTTATAACCCCATGATGTGGCCGCTGACTACCTTGCAAAGCAGGGTGCTGAAACAGCTTCATAGAACCAGAAACTCCCATTGGTATCGCTTTAGGCTTTGCCAAACAAAGATGGCAAGAAAATTTATGGACTTCTGGCCATAAACGCCTTGGAATGAGCCAATCCTAGAAGGATTATTCACCCTTCGAAGCTTGATACCAAACAGTTGTTGGACTACAGTAGGGATGAACTACGATGTCTAACAGGCCTTCTTACAGGTCACTGACATTCAAATCATCATATGCAGAAACTCGGACTGTTGGAAGACAGTGTGTGTTGCTTCTGTTTGGAAAAATGATGAAACAGCAAAGCACATACTTTGTGCAAGCCCCGCTGGGAACCGAATTAGGTTTTTAGAGTTCGGTAGAGGGTAACTCTCACCATCTGACCTGAAAGAGACCACTCACCATACAGAGTGATCAATTTCGTTAAGAACCTGGATTCATTTGGTCGAGTGTGAATAGGTGTGAGTCACAAAAAACCCTTGCGGGTTGCGGTGGAGGTCGAATAGACTCACTCACATTGCACCTAACCTAAGCTTCCCTACGATCTGAAAAATGAACAAATCCTAATCGAAACAGATTCTGCTGGGGTGTAATGAAAGGTAAACTGAAAAGTTAATCTAGAAAAGTTTCTGTATAGTATAAAACACTGAAGAGTCTCATTAACCAGGGTTTTATTCTTAAATGTTTGCCTATATTATGAATAATCAATGAAAAAATTTAAATTTCTATAGATGGTTCGCGTTTCGGAAAATAATCTTCCATTTTCAGTATTTATGCTAACAGTGATAATAGTATTGATATTTAACTTTATTATTTCGATAATAATTGTAGACGAATCACACTGAGAAGAAGATTAGAATAAGATGTTTGATTCTATAAGTTACTCACTAGTATGGTCCATCGGAAATTTTCAAGATAATAGAACATAGAAGAACCGGAAATATTTTGCGGAATGATTTGGGGATTGCATCACAACATTTGTACTCTAGTTTTTCCTAATTATGATATTCATCATATCATGAGTAGGAGTAGTTTTGTTGTTTTTATCAGTTATTTCAGTCAGTAATCTCTACTAGTCATTATATTGGCAATACTTAGTGAAAATTGAAACACTGCTTGGAAGGTGCTGTATAATTTTTAATTCTATATGGGCTGTTAATTCTATATGGGCAGTTACTGAAGAGTGATGAACGTAAGGTTAGCCAAAAAGGGTTTAGCTGTCGCAGTTATTGATCTTCCAAATATGAACTTCTAGAGCAATGGTCGCCAACCTCTTCAATGTGTTGAGCTACTTTGTTAATTTTGGAATAAACAGCGAGCTACCCACACGTAAGCCACGTAACGCAACGTAAATGAAATAATCCACAGTTAATTTATCATTATATGTATTTATTTTACTATTTAACTGGTAATACATAATACATAGGTACTAATAATAAACTAATAACAGAATAACTAATATTACTAGTACGTACTTGTTCATAGCTACATTCCTACCTATCAAACGAAGGTGTTTGAAAAATAAACACAAACTTTTATCCAGCCACAATGGCATATCACGTATGATTTAAAAATAGTTAATAATAACAACAAAAAAGTAACGCACTATCATGAATATAAACATTGACAAATAAAAAAGCACGTTCAATGAGAAGGCTGACACTCAGACTCATCGATAATTTTTTTAATGTTTGCAGTATAATTTGATGCAGCCATTCGAATACAATTATCCAAATGTTCATCTGTAAGTCGATTGCGATATTTGTTCTTAATAAACTTCTTGTTGGAAAAAGAAGATTCACACAAATAGGTTGAACTGAATAATGCTTTCACTTTCAAGGCAACACGGCATAGAACTGAATATTTGTCTTTACTTACAATAGGCCAGATACATTCAGTACCTACTTGAGACTAACGATTTTAAGGCTAAATCATTTTGAAACTCAATGACTTCCATTTCTGTTGCAGCGATGTCTTCGCCAAAGTCCTGCATAACACAAGTTGCAAACTGATGGATATCAATTTCCATAACGGGTGAAACAACAAACTGCGCTACTAAAGCCATTTCATTGAAATCCTTAAAACGATTTTTGAAGTTATTCTTCAGGGTAGAAATTATGTCTACATGATATTTATTGTCATAGGGTTCTAAAGGATTTTGAGATATTTTTTTGAAAGAATAGGAAAATGCTTGGCATCGCTGTAAATTAGGTTTTGTTCCCAAAACTCCAGCTTTTTGATAAATGCTTTTATATCAGAAATCATTTCCGCTAGTTCTTTGTCTCTCCCCTGAAGCTGCAAATTAAGTTCGTTTAATTTCGCTGTAATGTCTACGAGAAAACCAAAATCTCTAAGCCAGATTGAATTTTCTAGTTCCGGAGTCGGTTCATCGCGTTGTTTGAAAAATTGAACTATGCCAGATAAGACATCATTGAAACGTTTCAGCACCCGTCCTCTACTTAACCATCGGACTTCAGAGTTAAGGAGTAGGTCCCCGTATTGACAGTCAACTTCATCGGCCAAGGTTCTGAATAATCTTCTTTGTAACGCTTGAGCTCTAATCTTGTTCACAATTTTTACCACCAGTTTCATAACGTTGTTTAGTTTCAGGAAATTTCCACATAATGCTTGCTGATGGATAATGCAGTGGTAACAGAGAAATTGCGGAAAAGTTTCATCTTTACGACATAACGCCACCAGACCCTTATCACAACCCACCATAGCTGGAGCGCCATAGGTTGTAAAGCCTACCATTTTCGATATTGGAATTTTCTTGGAAAAAATTATATTTTTTTAATGAGAAAACAACTCATGTCCAGTAGTGTGTCGTTTCAGTGGAATGAACGTCAAAAGATCTTCTTTAATCGTAAAATCACTAAAAAACATCCTGACGAACACGGCCATCTGGGCAGTGTCAACGACATCTGTTGATTCATCCAGTTGAAGTGAAATATAAACACAGTTATCTAAGTCAGTTCTTAACTGTAAAAAAATATCATTGCTCATTACTTCTACACGTCTCATCACTGTATTAGCAGAAAGTTGCATAGATTTTATAGCTGAAACTATCTCGTCTTTATTTCTGAAGTTGGCAAATAACGAATCAGCAGCTTCTAAAAACGCCTGTTTTATCATTTCCCCGTCTTCATAAGGTTTCTTTTTTTGTGCAATTATCTGGGACACACGGTACGATACTTCAGTTGCAGCCTTATTTTTGTCGACTGTTCTTAAAAATATTGATTGTTGTCCAATTAACTGCTTTTTTAACTGTTTCAGTTTCTCCTTTCTGGCGGCAGAATGTAGTGGAAATGATTTTTCAAAATTAGAATGTACAGTTTTATGATGTCTCTCAATATTTCCTTTTTTAGCAACGGAGACCGAAGTATTACATAACAAACACACATTTTTATCTTTAACTTCTGTAAAAAAGTATTGTTCTTCCCATTCCAAATGAAAGTGGCATGTCTTTACCTTCTTACAACTGCTTGCCATAATATTATTTTTGTTGTTCTCTACTAACCCAACCACTGGACGTTGGTTACGTGTTCAGTTTCAAACTAAGCGCAATATCGCCGCGCCGTGCGTTTTTATCCCGTTCAAAGCAATCCAGATCGTTCTCGAACACTAACGCGCTGGTCCGGCTGGTCGGTTCTAGCCGATTCTAGCTTGATGGCGTCAGCGGCAGATCGCTCACCGCAACGTTGCCGCTGTTTAAGTTTAATATTATGACAATTAGATTTTTTTGTGGAATTTTCGGAAGCTTCTCTGATTTTTGCAATTTGTATTTTTTAAATTAAAATCGTTGTGAGAGCTACCAGAATTGCCTCCGCGAGCTACCGGTAGCTCGCATTCGACAGGTTGGCGACCACTGTTCTAGAGTATACTAAGTGACAAAGAAAGGTAAACACCCATTTATATTGCAAATATTTTAATAATTTTTTACTCACATACTTGACAGTTAACAACAAATAAACTAGCAAGTTTTCAGATAAATTGGATGATCGTGAAATCAGTGAATTTCAGTATTGTGTTGCAGATCCTTGATGGCTTATATACTCGTGGATACGTCTGGACTTCCAGTATTTCATCCTGTGGATGACCTCAGCATAGAACCGCTTGATGTTATGTTGATGAGTCCAAACATCCTCTGTTATTTCCGCTGGGTTGCTGGGTTGCTGCTGGGTTGTTCTCGCTGAACCTTTCTTCGTGCTCGACAATGCGGATTTTCAATGTTCTCTCAATTTCACCCATATAGGATTTGCCTCACTCACAGGGTATCCGGTAAATGCTATTCTTGGAATCGCAGTCCGCGTTTGGTGGTTTGTTTTTCGTGAGGCTGTTACAAATGGTGTTTCCGGAACTGAAGCAGGTTCTGATGTTGTACTTGGACCCACTTCTTCAAATCCTCCAAGACACTCCTCTGATGTAGGGAATTGCAAATACTTTTTTGATGATCCCTACTTTCTTTTCGAAACCTTCCTTCGTATTACAGAGCCCGAAAGCACGATCCACTAGAGTGTTGATGTGAAGTAACTTGGTTTGAAATATTTTTCAATTAAGTCATTAATTTCTTTGCTCATTTTTATTTTTATTATTTTCAGTTTTCAGTTTTCTTTATTCTGTGGTCATTTTGTATCTCAACTATTTTATTCGTTTTTTGTATTTTCAAATCTCATTTCTTTGTTCAATATAATTAATATTTTAGCTATTCAGTCTGATTTTATTTGTTTTTTTCATAGATTTCGATCATAATAGAATCGTATTAGACAATTCGAATTTGGTTTGGTTTGTAGAATGTAAATGAAGAAGCATGGCTAGAAATTTGATGTTTATTTCTTTTCTGAAAGTTTTATCAGTTTTCAACCAAGTTAAAACAGATTTTCTCATTAAAAACTCTCTTGCCCTTACCAGTTCTGTCCTCCCCCAAATCACCGTCGCAACCCCATCCGCATCAATCATTTCAGGCGTCTGAAAAATTGAAGAAAAAATCAGTAGACGCTAATGAAATTCCCACACGTGATTCAGAGTACTGAAAAATGTAATGCTTGTTCAAGAGCGTTATCTGGGAGATCTGAGAGGGGCGGCCGCGACCGCCGCTTGGGGGCCGCGTGGAGCGGGGGCAGACAGCACTGTGGCCGAGTCGGGAGGATGACAAATATCCTTCAATCCGTCACTGCCATGCCGTGGCCCGCTCGGAATTGGATGCGATGCAGACTCACAGAAAGCTTTGTAATATTGGTCGGTGTTAGAATGTTCTTTTCGGAAGAGGGTTATTCCACACTGAGAAAAGTTGTGTTTGGGTGAGGATAGACTTGGACGAATAACGACAATAAAAATATGTGACTTCTCTCTTTTAATGGGTATTTACTTGACAAAATCGTCGATTTTTGGAATTTTTTTCTAACGTTTCGCTTGCGAGTGGCTAGCTTCTCCAGAAGTTCATACAGCTTGAGTTTGTCTCCGATTACTGGGTATTCTGACGGCGTAAAGCATATTCATGTTGATTCAGGTAGTTTGGTGTGCTAATTCCTGCGCCGGGATCAGTTAAATTGTTAATAACATTCGATGGCCCTTTTCTAGCTGCCGTCATGATGTTTGTTATTCTTGAACTCCTCAAAATGAGATTCCATATTCGGTTGAGGTTTACAACTTTTTCTTTTCTGTTGAAATTGGTGGATCCGATGTAAACCTTCTCACAAGTGCGTGGTTTTCGATATACCTCTGCTGTTGACAGTGGGTATTTTTTGTCTTTAGCCGACCTGAGGCTTTGTTGTAGCCTGGGGTGGTGCATATGAAAATTCGTTAAAATCTGTCAAGTCTATTCATAAATATGCATTAAAAATAATTTTCAAAAAACCTCTCAGATTTCCATCGAAAGTTTTATTCAGAAAATATTTCATTTTGAATCTCAGTCTAACATGTTACGAAATCAAACCATCTATATGAAAAACATTTTATAAATACTGACATAATAGAACATCAGTATGATACAAGATCAAAGACCAATAAATGCTTTCAAATTGCTAAGTGTAGTCTACATTTAATGCAACAACACTGCATATATATTTGTTGTAAAATTCACCCTTTATTTTATTTCACCCTCATTCATAATAAAATACAGTCAAACCAAAGTTTTAGCAGACTGTGTTAAAATATTATACATGTACTAACAATTTTTTAATATATATAGACATTCATTTGATATTGTACATTTGTTAATAAATTTGAATTGATTTTGAATTTTCTTGATGAGTCTGAAAACTGGTTCAATGTTGTGTTTCCCCAAGAGTTTTCAAATTCTGTCTGTGAATCTAGAAATATACGGTAGATACGCACATACAACCATTTGTTTTATTGTGAATATCGAATTGAAAATGGTCTACGACTCTATATGAGTCAACGAATTTTTCTTGGTAGATTTTTGGGTAATTAGCTTCCACACTCTAACAGAGAACCTACAGAAGTGTTGTGTAGGTATCCAAAAACTTATCACTGAAAGGATGAACTATCCCAGTTAGACAGTAACTTGTCGTATTCACAAGTTTTGTCTTCAAATTGAATGATCTACGAACCATTGGGTAGGTGGGTAGGTGCACATAGTATAGTTCACATATTGAACTGTGGAAACTGCCACAAATGACACGTTGGCCAAATTAGACGTTATTTTGAAACTAGAGTTTCGGAACACAGAAAGGTTCTAAAAAATTAACTACCAAGAACTCCACTGCTCTTGTTGGATATGAAAGAAAGCATTTTTCATTTTGAACATTCAACTATCCTAAATGTCCAAACATATGAGTATTCATCCAGGAGACTTTTGTTCGATATAATACATATCCTCACACATGAAGGATATCGCATATTTAAATTTGATCGGTGAAATACCAAAATAATTCCAGGCACCAATTCATCAAAATCATCATTAATAAAGCCATTCGTTTGTGTCAAGTAATTTTTCTAGTGTTGGTCTCGAATATTTCGTTGCTATGTTGATTTTTATATTTCATTATTCATCTAAAATGCATTATGTTTTAGAAATCAGTTATATTTTCAACAAAGAAAAATTCGTTTTTGGTGTGTAAGTTTATTGAAAATTAATATTTTTTTTCCATTTTTGAGGAATGAATATAATAATAATAATAATAAAAATCGGCTTTATTCATCAACATAATAATATACAAAAACAAAAATAATGATGAAAGGCGAAGTTCAGCTTAAGCTGTTTTCAACTCAACCTAGTATGAGAACATTATTCAGTTTAATTGATTAATACTTCTGTTCATCTAGTTGTATATAGTTGCTATTGTGTTGATATATAAAAACAGTTTCAAAACCTATAACATTAGAACGACAACGTTTATCAAAGTTTTTCGTTTCAGAGCCACGAAAAGAAATTCAATTAGGGTCGAAACGTTGGCAAAAAAGCAATTGTTTTTTCTGAAAGTATTTTATCTTGTGACTCAAACAACCTTTTTGGAAAAAGTGTTTGGAACATTAGTCAAGTTAACTGTATTTTATTTACTTATTTAGCTTTCTTCACCTCAGATGACAACAAGTATATTTTCTTTGACAAACGTGAAAAGAATAAAATGTTCAAATGCCACATTATTTATGAAGAAAACCAAATGTCTGTATTTCACCGGATTCAAATTAAAATACAAGAAATATCTTTTTTACCAATCAATTGGATATGTAATGATACTGATATTCATTCAAAATTTGTTCAGGCTATCCACTGATTCTGTTTTGTTTTC